ACCTGATTCTGCCTACGCCTTTCTGGCGGAGCGAAAAAATATGCTATTCGACTCATGTTGTCCGCGTTTTCTCTGTCGGTTACAGTTATGTTTTATACTATTGGGGCAAAGATCTCTTGTATAGTTTGTGCTAACACTCCTATCATATTATGGTTACTATCATCCATTAATTGCCTAAAAGCCATCTGATTTTCTGTGGTTAAGATAGGCAATGCACTATAACCTACTGAACCTTGGTTATTTGTCATAAATTGATTAGCCCTAGATCCAGACCCTAATTGTGGTGACGTATTCGATGTCGAAGCGTGCATACCCGCCATAAAAGATGTTGGCATCCCATAAGAGGGATTTCTGTGTCTGTTACCATCGAAACCGGGTGGTCTAGTTAGTGGGGTGGCGAAATGGGTTTGTGTCCCTGATGGTGGGACGAATCCCCCAGGATAACCAGTGGTTCCTGTATTTCCTAGGATCGAACTGTTAGTCGACATGCCACTTGTTCCATTCGTGGCTACACTACTGGTAGAGGATGCAACAGACTGTGCGCTCGAAGGGATCGCATTAGACGTTCCCGTCGAAGCAGACATATTAGTGCCTGTTCCATGTGGGGCATTTTGTTCCCCTTGTTGATTGTTTGGATTAGACATCTTGTTATTACGTTTTCTTCTGGGTAAGGGTTGGTTGCTATTGGTTATTCTACCACTTCTAAGGTTCATATAACAACGAACTTATCACTCAGAAAGAACTTTTACAATGATTATATCCTAATAATCTTTACTTTGTTTTAACTTTCGTAACGACCAATGAGGGTCCCACTGGGCGTGCCAATTTGTTTACAGTGATTTCTGGTAAACAACCGCTAGTCCTCCAAACTATCAAATAATCTTAATGACTGTTATTTAATCTCTCTGGTAACTTGCAGGATCGACTAGATTGATCCTATGGGGTATTGGTCGTTTGGATAAATCTAATTGCAAAACTGATATTCATAGTTAGGATTTGTATTTAGAATGTTTTATAGACGTTCAATTCACTTCGATTACCATGTTAAAAGAATCTAATGACATGATCAAGTAAAGAAATACGAAACTGAATTGAATGAACAAAGATTCGATTGCAAAGAAATGTTTAAATGCAGAAATAAGTAAATGACTTTGAATGTAAAGACTTTAATGTAAAAAGCATGAATATAAAATCATGAAATGTAAAAGAGTTTCTGAAATGTAAAGGATTCGAATAGAAGAAAAACGTTTAAATGCAAGAAATAAGTAAATGACTTTGAATGTAAAGGTATTTGAATGACATTGACATGAAAATGGAAGATAAACTGGAAAAGATAAAGAGTTTTACTGAATTATAAATGTTTGGTGTTATCATACGTATATTGTTCGAGCATTCGTTTCCCTATCCATGTGGTATTTTGAATGTTTACTGAATTTTGTACAATAGATATGACACACGAAATCCTAACGCTAAGACTCCTATTTATACTACTTCGACCATAACGGTCTTGCTTATAAGATTCTGCCACGTTCGGAACATGCAGAGCACTGCTCCTCTCTAGCTTCCACGCGTCTTCGAACGCTCCAGCGCATATATATTTGAATTCCAACATCCCGCTCGCGTTTGAATTTCAAATGCCTTGGCAATCTTCGCTTCGAACTCATTTCACAGACACAGTCTCGTTACCACTTCGAGGCTTCTTTTAAATATATCTTCATAACTGTCACTCGAAGCTCCGAGCTTTGACATGTTCGTTCGAAGAACCGCTTCTACCATTCCGAACTGTAACATTTTGCTTTATTCCAACGAAACATCCATATTGCTTCATTTCGAACTGTATCATCAAAATCTTCAGCCAACAGATATATGATAATTGCATGAACAAATTCTGGTTGTCCGTCGTTCTGGTAGAACATTCAATGATGTGTATTTATAAGGATTGATGTGTGCCTTTGTGGCTTGATACACATTGTGACTTTGATGTATGCTTAAATCAGAGTAGGCCCGGATATCAGGAAGTAAATGACTTATGACTTAGACCTTGTGTGTTAATTGTACCGTTGTGATATGCTTGTGTGGGTCCATGTGAGGCGTTTCCACCAGCAGTTAAGAACATTTGTGTGCTCAGTATGTCGTAAGCACTTGAGCTACTATTGTGATGCGCTTGTGTGGGTCTATGTGAGGCGTTCCACCAACAGTTAAGAACACTGCGTGATTGGTATGGTGAGGTTGTGATGCCATGTAGGAAATGTCACTTCATGAATTTATAACTCACCTCTAATGGTGCCATGTAGGCAAGACCATTAGGCTTTCGCCCGATGGGCTCGTGTTGTCAAGATGACGTTTTTGCACTGATAGTTAATCACATGCGTTTGGATGATGGACGAGTTGTGACGCCTCATCGAAAAATGTCACTCCTGGAACTTGTCACATATGGAATTCCATTTAGGAATGATCCGATCGTTGTGTTGTGACCGGGGCAAGTCTCTTGATGGGATGCACGAGTGTAACTCACCGAGGTTGTGATAGTGTAACCTGAGTAAGGGCAATAACGTACTCCTGGATTTCTCGTACACGGGTACGGGTCTGCATACTTGTTTGTTTTTGGCTATGTACCCTATAGAACTGAGCGAACCCCTAAGATAGAGAGACTCACTGAGATTTAGTAATCTCACCCCATTCCAATTATCATTTTTCAGGTTGTTCGTGGCAGGATCATGACAAGGGTAAGATGGCTTAGTCTTGCGATGGTGTTTCTTGGCGATATTTAGTTTTTTCTTTTTGGATCCTTCTACTTCTGTATCTTGGATTTGTATTAGTACTTATAGAATTGTATCTTTTGGCCATGACAATTTCGATAATTTATAATCTGTACTAATACTTATATCTATTCCACTGCTTATGTATGGATATTTCTGTACCATTTTAATATCATATACATATATCCTATACAATATATGTATGGGGTGTTCCCGTTAATGATTGAGTGCATAATTGCATATATTAAAACATAAACTTCTAAATTATAGTTATTTAAATTTGCAAACTTAATTTTATATATGACTCTCAATCTACCGATACGTATTTTTCGTCCAATAATAAATTAATAATCTGCTATGCCATTTAAACAATTTTAAAATGTAAAAGTGATTTGGCATAATACATAATATTAATTAGTTAATAATGTAAGATTATTTTTCACTGCATCTCCTATTTTTTATAAATTAAATAGTTTTTAAAATCTAATTCATTTAATAAATGTTAATATTATTAAGTTGAAAAGTTTATCTCGCTTTCAAATATAAGACCTCACAATTATGTGCGTGAATTCAATATAATAAAAAACAAAACTTCTCAATAAAATTTCCAAGAACTAAAAAGGAAATTTAAAATACTTATAAGAATTAATAACTTGTTTCCACACATATGCGTGGTTCAAATATTACTAAATATCATATATGTAATAGCAAATCAATTTTTTGTCGAAAAGACTGAATAAAATCACCTTCTTCAATCATTTGATATTTAGCTTTAACATAAGAGATTGATCAGTTTGGTATTGTATAGCTACTTTACCTACCAAACAGAGAAAAAGTAAACCTTTAGGAATGGAAATAGTGGACCCTCCAAACCACTACACTTGCTAGTGCTCCTTCTAGTTTAAGTAATCAAGTGGATGATATCGAATCTATAGATCATTCTGGAATCATGTATTAATCCATAATAAAACTCAGAAAACTATATGTCATTATCACATGAAATAGTTCAAAGATTTTTTATATCATGCAAGTACAGTGCATGTATTATTTATCTTTAGATTTATAGTTTACTATAACTAAACCTTATTTAATGACTAACATAACATAATAACCAATAGAATTTGTGCATGCATGTATTCATTGTTATACGAGGCAAAAAGTAGCATCTTCCTCCATTATTGTTGTTGATGGACCATGAAACTTTTGGAGGGTTGACAAAAAAGAGAAGAAGAAAGCAATTAAGCAAAGAAAGTGTGTGTGGCATGTATATTTTTCTTAGAGAGTAAGAAATGGAATGCAAATCTTTGTGGTTTCGTGTTGACCAACTGGCATGCACTCTCCAATGACCTACTGCCAGATTACTACAATATTATATTCTTTTATTATTCAAAAAAATTGCACTGGTGGTGATATTTTTCATGAACTTGTGGTTATTTATTTATTTATTTATTTATTTATGCATATAGTAAAGCAAATGATGTTAAAGTAGTGTTATTTAATAATTTAATGTACTAAAGATTATATGGATGACAGAAAGGCAAACAGATTTTGGAACCTAAAAAAGTAGTTAAAATTTTAATATCACAGTAAATTGTACGAGTAAGAATGTCAAATGAAATTTAAATGCAAAAGAATGATATGAAAATAAACGAATTTAAATAAATTGAGTAAGTTTTTTTTGCACCACTATTCATGCATTTGAAATTAAATAATATCATGTGATTGATCGAAGATATAAGATATATTATTCAATTTTTTATGATAGGTAGATAAGTTATTCTTTTATAAATTTTCAAATTAATAAGAAAAAAAAGTATTATTTAAAAAAGAAAAGAAAATGCATTATTTTAAACAGGAAAAGAAAAAGAAGAAAAAAAGAAAAAGTAAAAGGAACTAGATTCGTGGTGTCTGAAAATAAATAATTTTATAAAACACTTATTTTACTCATGCTTTTGTTTTACCTCTATAAATTAAACCAAAACATTCCCACTCATTTCCGAAAAATATAACCAAACCTCAAACGTAATACACAACAAAAACAAAGATTCTCTCCTCACATTCTCAATCACACTCAATTTCCATGCTTCTAATCCTTAAAATCACTGCAGTTTCTCAAGAATCTGCTTCCATATACATTGTTAACGAGCACAAATTCTCAGTTCCTTTTATCTAAAAACAAAAACATAGTAAAACAAAAAAACAGAGCCTGTTCTGTTTTTTTTTTCTGTTCCATTAAGAAAAATGGGTTCTATCACTTTGCACAAACACAAAGCTGAGAGATTCAACAAAGTTCAAAAGCATAGTCAGTTACGAAAGATTACAGATTTGTTGAGGTATGTAGAGATGTGTGTTGTGTTGGTTTTGATTTCAAGGCTCTCGTTTCAACAACTACCATTGGCTTTGAAGAATTCAACCGAGTATTTTCGAGGGTTTGAGATCAGTCCTGGATTTGTTTTCCTCATTGGGAATGTTATTATCATTACCCTTTTTGCTCAATCAGGTCATTTTTCAAATGATTCTTCGAAGAGGAAAAGTTCGGAACATGATTTGTATCTCGAGTTTCTCCAGAATAGCAACATGTATCAGAGAATCCAAGGTTGTGATCAGAGAAAAGTGAGTGTGAAAGTGGAGAATAACTTAAAGGGTCGAAGAATAATCGATGGATGCGTGGTGAAAGTTTGTAAAAAAGATGTTAAGAAAAGTGATGAACAAGGGATGGAAACAGAGATGGATTTGGAAGTGAAGGAATATAGGAGGTGCCAATCGGAAACTGCTTTGGTGAAGGGTGTGGATAGTGATAATGAGAAGGATCAGAAAGTGTTGCAAAGGTGTGAGAGTGAGAATGAAAAAAGAAAGATGAGAAGCATTGAAGTTGATAAAGAGAAGAAAAAGATGGTGAAGAATTCGAGTTTGTACCCTGAAGATGGAATGAGCAATGATGAATTTCGTCGCACTGTGGAAGCATTCATTGCAAGACAACAGAAGCTACGATAAATGAAGTTCAAAGCTTTTATTCCTAGCTAATTTCTATGGAATTTGTATTGGGAATTGGATTGGATTGTAATTTGGAAACTAAGAAGATAGACCCTTTTCTGTTTTTTTTTTTGTTCTTTTTAATGAACAAACAAATATGTGATGTATTTTGTATCATCATGTAAATTAAGATAAGAGGAAGTGTGTAAATAACTTCTTGGATAATAAAACCATGCACTTATTTATTTAATTGAGTTTTAATTTGAAATATTTACTTGTCTTATTTGATGTTGAATCGTATTAGTTTACTTCGTTAGTGTGATGTATATGAACGAGATATAAAATTTGAGGTTAAGGAATGATAGTTTTTTGGAGGTTGTATTAGGGTATTTTAATAAGTTTTACAGAAGCGACAATGAATCACAATGTGTTTTTTACCATTGAGTTGTCGTTGAGTTTCTATGATAAGGTTGATGTCAAAACAGTTTATATGGTCAACAAATATCTATACATAAGAATAAACTTAAAAAAATTTATGGAGGTTTATAGTAGGAAACTTATAGACTATTTTATTTTGAAAGTCGTCAAAATTTTGGTTATTGATCAGATCAAGCTAATGCAGCTTGATGGTAAGGTTGTGAACTGTGTCTTCAATGGTTATTCAAGAGTTGGGAAGGGTTATGAGTTGTGGGAATTGAAATATGGGACATCAAAGATTGCCATTATCAAATGTATTACTTTCAATGAGTCCTAAAAAAGGAAAAAGAGAACACACTAGGAGATGGGGATTTTGTAAACTATGGCGGAGAAGAATCAGTTTGAGGTGTAGGTTCCTGCTATGAATACTAGTAGTAGTGAGAGATCGTTTACAGAGACCTTCAATTATCATTTAACTCATGGTCAGGTAAGGAGGTAGGTTGTTCATATCAAAGATACAATTTTGTTGGTCTTGGTTGATATGCTTTAGATGTGGATGAAGAGTTGCAAAACTCATAAGTAAGAACCTTCAGGGAGGAATTCAAGCATGTTCAAATATGGTTGAAGAACCATACTTGTGGACTTGTTAGATTACTTGAGCATAAAAAGGTGGCAGGATACAAGTGGATGCAAGTGGCAAGATCAAGGCTCAAGTGAGGCTTGAACTTGATCAATGTTGTTGAATATTGATTTCAACATGTTAGAAAGCAGCAAGTTGGTTGATGGGTAAATTGGAACCACCAGAGTTTAAAGTCAAGGTGGAGAATTGTATAATTATGCCTTGAAACCTTAAGTGATAAAGAGAATGAAATTGTATTTCTAGATTGTAAGAAACCAAAGTTGAAGAAAGTCGAAAAGAATTAGAAATGTCGATGAAGAACGTCATAAACACGACAGTTGGCATCGATGGTCCATAGTGAAGAAGAGGTATGTTAAAACTCGACTGGCGGTGATCGAATTGGATATTTTGGGTTTCATAAATTATAAATATGTGTCTCTATATTTCTTTCTAAACAAGCTTAATAATGTAGTCTGAAAGACCGAGGAATAAGGAAAATCCTAGGGGAACATAGAAAGACAAGGGTAGAAATTTCTATGATTATGTTATTGGAATATAGGAAACCTTTGGATACTATTTTAGGGAAATTAGGATACTATTTTCTTGTAACTCTTTTGTAATCTCTTATAAAAATTATTGGAAGTATAGTGAATTAGATAGTTTCTCTTTTCTTGGAGTAGATTAGTTTGATCGAAGTGGGTAAACAAGTTTCTTTGTGTTAATTTTTTTCTTTCTTTTGCTTATGTTGGATTTGCTTACACTAATGGTTGGTTATTTTGGTTGCTTGATGCCATTTATTTTGGTTGTTATTGTTCTTTGACCCACACATCTTTACTCTTTATTGATTTAATATTAAGGTTAAATTCATAGAGAATTTGGTGTGTTTGAACCTATCAATAAATTCACTAATATTGTTAGAGTTTTCACAACAAACCCCTTAGACCTTCCTCCATTCAAACACTCAACTTGAATTAGATGATTTACATCTCTATTATTTCTCCATAATTTTGTATTATGAACGGTGACTTGTGGTATGATATGGTCTCCAACTTTCGTCTCTAGTTTAGAAACACTTCTCATTTTTATTCAAAATTTTATTTTATATACTCTGCCTTACTTCTACTTAGACAATAATCGTATATTTCTAAGGCTTGTCTCCAACCTCTCATGTAAATCCTTGTCCTACTCTTCAAGTAGGACTATTTCATATGCAAAAATCATACATCTCAATGCTAGATTTTGGATGTGTTTTATGTGTACATATAAAGAATAATTAAAAGGTAATGGTTTAGGGTTGAACATTGGTGCAATATTATTTTTATGATAAATTTTTCTGTCTCTCCACCGTGTGTGCGCACACTATTCGATACTACCCATACATATCATGGATAGCTCGAATATATACAATCATATCGCCTTTCTTCTGCCGATCTATCCACAAAATCTCGCTAGACATTTTATCATACGCTTTCTCCAAGTCAATGAAACTTTAGTGTAAGTCTTGTTGATCCATCTTATACTTCTCCATGACATGTCGTAGTAACTAAATCACTTCCATGGTTGAACTCCCATGCATAAATCTAAATTGATTATCACTAACTTGAGTATCTTTTCCTAATTTTTCTCAATCACTCTTTCTCATAACTTCATGGTATGACTCAACCTCTATCATTTGTACAATTTTGTATACCCCTTTGTTCTTATTGAGTGGAACTAAAGTGTTTCTTCTCCATTCATCAAAAATTTTATTTGACCTCATAATTTTGTTAAAAAGTTTGGTGATTATCTCAATATCTTTATCTTAAAGAATTATCATACTTCAATTGGTATGTTTTCTAGCCCATTCGCCTTACTATTACTCATCATTTTCAATGCTTTTTTACCTTGTGTTTTTGAATATGAAGATATTAATTATAATTTCGATCTTCCTCTCTAATGTCAAGCATGTTAGATTCTGGTGAAATATCATATCTTCATTAAATAAATTGTAGAAACCACTACAACAAATAACACTTTTCATGATGAAGCTTTCACGTCATCTAGAAAAAAGCCAAGGTTTTATACCAAGGTGCCCCACATTTTTTTTTATAAAAAAAACAACTTGATCCCTCGTTTATTTAGAAAGCCGAGGCGACATACCATTTCAGATATGCTTCGAATCCCCGCTACTGCACTTTATGTTTCTACTTGTAAAAAAGTGTAAAATAAATTATCTAACCCTTCGATTTCTTTAATAAACCGAGGGATAAATAATCCGGTTTTTACTATAAAAATACTCGTTGAACATATTTGATCCTAATGTTATCTTATTTGTAGCTGCTCCACCATTTTTTTTGGATTGCAAAACTAAAAAAATGTTCTTCTACCTGAGCAAAACTATGATATATTCGTCGTTACCGATGGATTGCAAGTGCAGAAAAAATAGTTTCCAATCTTTGCAACAGACGCCTTATTAAAAGTTGGGAGCATTCAAGCACATTGTCTACGCTAGTGAAGGCAGTGATAATGGTAGTGCAACCATCAATCTTGGATGCAATATTAATGATAGCACAACAATCAATCTTGGATCTCTAGCATCTTGTATGAGACCTGGACATGCTCTATTTTTAATATTTTGGATAAACAATATAATCATTTAAAAAAATATAATCTAACCCATCAGTTTTATTCCAAAACCGAGAGTTAGTTAATCTAACCCCTTAGTTTTATTCTAAAACCAAGAGGATATTTAATTCTGAAACCAACATTTCATTAACAAACAAGGTCAATACATAGATTTCATTGCATCTACAGTTTGCACATAACATTAACAATGCAATTCAAACTCTAATTCGTCAATTACATTTCATAACAAAGTAAACATTAAACATAAAGGAGATAAAAAAACATAACATCTTAAAATTTCCATAAAATTTCTATGATTTCATAACCTTCAAATAACCTTTAAATAACCTTCAAATAGCCCATAGCTTCTAACTCTGACTTCATAATGCTCCCATCTTCATTTCCACTTTTTGCCACCATGTCTCCATCCCATATAAATAAATTACATGTCTCTTCACTCCTCCAAAATGGACATATCCAAAAAAGCCTTCCTTTATTTTGTCCCTTCTTGCATTGGTATGAAACCATACGACCATCACACCCATAAAATGGTCCAAATTGTGATTTTACAGAAGTAGAAGACATAGAAACACCTTTGGATGAGTTTGTCTTCAAAGACGACATTGTTTTAGTTTAGCTAGCCAATACATTATTCCAAAACCGAGATGATAGTTGCAACAACCCCTATACCCCACACACAATATATAGCAAAATTAGAGTAAAATAACATGCATATCAAAGAGAGCGTCACATGTACTTCACAAAACATAATGCAAATACACTGGTCATGCTCATAACACACATTTAGAATCATGTTCCATACAATAACATATATGCCTCTCGTAGTGGAATAATTATCATTTCAAAATAATACTAATGATTGAAATCACACACCAACAATCATATCATAAAATATTAGGTACTAAAGACCATTTATCACATAATCTCAATACAACATAAATATCCAGGGAGTATAACAACCTCTCTCAAATAAACATGAATATAACAAATATAACATGAATTCATACGTTCCCCATGTTACATTGACCATAGCATGACGCACTACCCAAATAAAATGGGTAAACAAGAACCTAGATCCTCCTCTTACTAGTCCTTGCAAGAAGCAGCGTTATCCTCAGTACCTGAGCGATGTCGTAGAAAACATCATTTCAACAGAAAGATGAGAATTCACATCATTATAGAAATATATAATAATAAGTAATGTATAACAAGCATACATAAATTGAATTCATCACACTTCACATAATCATGTATTCAATATATCCAATACAATTCACATATTCACATATACAACATTGCTAAAAATTCATGATTTAAAGATAATCAATCACAAATACCACAAATGTAACATTCACACTAATATCACATAATGCACACCAATTCAAC